AAAATGTATTATTTATTTATTATTAAAAAAAATGTATTATTCTTTTTTATTACGGGTAAATAATATGGTATATTTCCTCTTTTAAAACTTTCAACTAGTTTTTTGGGTTCCTTTAAGATTTTATACATTTTAAAATTTGACTTATTACTTGTATTTATATGTTTACCGATTTCGCTAGGGTTTAAGTAATTTTTTGCATAATCATTACAGTCAATTATACGTCAATAGCAATTAATTAATTTATAAATTTCCGAACGATTACAGTTTTTACAATCCAAAAAATGACAATTTTTATATTTCTTACATATATTTCTCTTAAGATAATATAATTTATTAACATTTATTTACATATTTTCAATAATATTTAGTACAATTATCGTATTATTGCTATAGGTATCTGGTATAAATTGTAGTTGTGATAGAATTAGCCTTATATTATAATCATTTTCTCCTATACAAATTATGAGTTTATCATCTGGTTTTAGTAAAACATGACGTTTTGGCAGTTTTATATTATTTCGTAGCTTAGTGCATATGGCTTCGTTTGACCAATAACTTTATATTTTTCGTATTGAGTCATGTGTCTTGAAATTGATATAGCTGCAGCCAGGCCGACGCATTGTTGGGAACCAATAATGTGAATTTTTTTACAGGGTCGGGTTTTTGTTGCACTGTGATTGGATATGAGGTCTCGTTCAGTTTTTCTATCGAGTTTTCAAAGTAGTTTTTTTATGTCAGATTCTTTATTTTTTTCCGTAAGACCTGTGATCTCTTTTTCTGCTTCCTTAAGTTAATTTTGCAAGTGGCTGATTTTTTTGTTGAAGGCACAATATTGCAAGTGGCTGATTTTTTTGTTGTGTTAGTGTGAGAATTGACATGTGACTTGACTGTTGGCGAAGATAGTACAGAGGACACGCTATGAATTACCAAGGAGTCTTTTTTCTTCTTATTTTTATTAAAAATTCCAGGACTATCTTCTATTGTTGTTGGAGAATGGCAGAGTGATTTTAAAATTTTATTTTCCGATGTTAATTTATGTATTTCTCTGTGCAGATCATTATCTTCTAATATCAAATTTTCTAATTCGTTTTGAGTACGTTCAAGTGTACAGGTTAATTGAGATATTGTTATTTTCATATCTAAGATTGATGTTATGTTAGTAACGGTCCCGTCTACACTTTTAGACAGTTTATTAGGCATCGTAAATGACTCATCTGATATATTGTAATCGGTAAATATGGGAGAATCCAGCGCGTAAGAAGAGTTCTGTGTGAAGCGCGCAGACTTGACGACTTCCAGCCTCCCGAACAAGCCGGTTTCCGAAAGGGCTTTAGCACCATAGACCACATACATACCCTTCGGCAAATTGTACAGAAGTCCGAAGAGTACAATTTGCCACTATGTCTGGCGTATGTGGACTATGAGCAAGCCTTTGATTTCGTCGAAATTTGAGCGGTGCTGCATGTGTGCATGCATCAGCGGTGCCAAGTTGACTGTCGGTATATCGAAGTGCTGAAGTATTTGTACAGTAGAGCTACGATGGCTATCCGAGTACAGAACCATAGTACCTATCCAATTGCAGAGAGATGTAAGACAGGGTGATGTTGTGGGATATATCCCCGAAACTCTTCACCGCTGCACTGGAAGACGTTTTCAAGCTTCTGGACTGGAAAGGATACGGTATTAACATCAATGGCGAAAACATCGCTCACCTTCGATTTGCCGACGATTTAGTCCTTATGGCAGAATCGCTGGAGGACCTAAGCACCTTGCTCAATGACCTCAATAGTGTCTCCGAACGAATAGGTCTTAGGATGAACATGGACAAAACAAAGATCATGTTTAATGTCCATGTCACATCTATGCCAGTAGTTGTTGGGAGCACTAAGCTCGAAGTTGTTGACGAGTATGTTTACCTGGGACAAATAGTCCGACTAGGTAAGTCCAACTTCGACCGAGAGGTCAATCGACGGATTCAACTCGGCTGGGCAGCATTCGGGAAACTACGACACATCTTCTCATCAGATATACCTCAAAACCTTAAAACGAAATTGTACAACCAGTGCGTGTTGCCTGTGATGACTTACGGATCTGAGACGTGGTCCTTCACTGCTGGCCGAATGAGGAAGGTCAAGGTCGCTCAGTGAGTATGGAGAGGGCTATGCTCGGGGTTTCTCTGCGTGATAAACTTAGAAATGAGTATATCCGCAGTAGAACCAGAGTAGCCGACATAGCCCAACGGATTAGTAAGCTGAAGTGGCAGTGGGCCGGCCATATAGCTCGAAAGTAGTGTAGTTGTACCACTTCTAGACCACCTGAGTCAGACGTGGTTCAACGACGTTCGTCGACGCCCGATCCTAAAAAAAAAAAAAAAAGGTTTTGGCATGCTCTGATCACGAATCCGTGGTCCATTTTTGTGTAGAATGCACGGTTCCGGAGATGTGTAGATCAATTAGCTAATATCTAATTGATATCCGGTAAGGGCCTCCACCGTCATTAGCGTCCCATTGTTCCTATTTCTATTGTTCTATTGTTCCTTAATCACCTTCATTGCAGCGTGTGCGTCGACTATATCAGTGCTATTGTGTTATAGTTCTTTGTTTATACAACACTAATCTGAATCATCAATAAAACACATTACATAATTTTGGTACAATTTTTATTTATAAAATACAAAATCTTATTAATTATTATCTATAAAATAGGAGCGAAACATCTCATCCACTAAAATATCGTTGTACAATGTGTTCCTTGTAAATATACTCGTAAAACTATGTATTGAACATCCTTGAAACTTATATAGTAAATACATTAAGCAATATTCGCCACAAACTGAAGTCCACTCATTCTGAATCCTATCAACATTCCAGTTCCATCTTTTACAATTCCTTTTTAAAAACTCTAGATGATATCGTACAGGTGATCGTCCATATGAATCAAAATATTGACCGACGTCATTCGTATCGATATATAAAGCTACCCAATGTGACCCTGGTTTATCATCTGTATCCAAATTACATATTATATACGTTGGTACGTGGGTATACATAGGCAGTCTATTAGCTGCATAAACATTATTTTCTAGACTGGGGTGAATCTTTTTCAGATGTTGTTGTACATCTAGTGTATCCATGATATTACTGCTATTAGTAGATTATTACAGTACCTAGCTACTCAATGAATAACATAGGAATGGTCAATTATAGTGATTTCTACATATTAAATTGCATTTTTGTGATATACAAATCGTACTTGAGTCATTGATCACCAAACAAAACACAATACGAAGAAATGTTGAGATAGGCAACGGAAATGTGAGATAAACTGGTTGACGCATAAAGTAATTATCAACTCATTACGGAAATACTTTAGATTAGAATTTTTACGTACTGGTGGTATATAAGACCAACAAACGCAGTCATCGAGTTAGTGTACGGTCGTTTGGCTACAGTGGATCTATCAATAGTACATTTGTGTTACTTCAATACACCAAAGGCTATGGATGTAAGTGTTTATTCTATTGACTAAATTACTTTTTTTCTGTTATTTTCATGTGTGTGTATTATTTTATTTAAATATTGTGTATGTATATGATTAAGCCGTGGTAACTCAGATGGTTAGCGCTAGCTGTAAATTTCACAGTACGCGACCCGGGTTCGATCCCCGCCAGCACCAATTAAATTGTTAATAGCAATTTTAAGTGCTTATTACCACGTGCTTGGTGGTGAAGGAAAACATCGTAAGGAAACCTGCATGTCTGAGAAAATTTCGAAGGCATGTGAAGTTCGCCAACACACATTGAGGGAGCGCGGCGGACATTTCCTTGCTCTAAAACCCTCTCAGAAATGAGAGGAGGCCTATGTTCAGCAGTGGACTTTAATAGGCTGTAACTTTAACTTTTTTAACTTTTATGATTAAGTGTTAACAAATTGATATTAACATGATAACTGTGTTGTTGCAGAAATCATTGAGCTTCGATGAAGATACCTATAAACAGTATTACTACTCGCCACTCTCCCCTCAAGAAGAGAGTGATAACCCCGTCATTAATAATAACACATGCGATGGTGGAAAAAGAAAATCGCAATCGATTGATCATTTTTTTGAAGCTGAATCAAAAATAAAAAAGAGGAAGCTGTTATCATCAAACGTAGCACGAGCCGCTAGAGATGGTGTATCATACATTTCTACTAATTCTGACGACGGAGACCAAGCGACGCATCTCATCAAAATTGAAATGTACGATATGAAGAAGCTATCCAAGATTCCAACTACTGATCATTGGAAACATGCTTCCACTAGAATTAAATATTACGTAAAGACTAATAAGGATAGCATCTACGACAACACAAACGCCCTCGTATACAATATAACAAAGACAATAGCAGAAAGTGAAAAAGTTAAAAAATACTTTTTTAACAATGACAGTCATTAGCTGATCATTAGTGAATGTGTTTCTGTTTACTTCAATTACAGGAAGACAAGAGCGGAAGGAAGAGATGAGTGTGGCATACGTGTACAAAACACATCATTGAATAACAAAACTACAACACTGAGTGGAGAAGAAAACGAGAAGAGTATGCAGTACTCAAGAGCTGAATATCCATTCTTCAGTTCAAAATCTAGCCGTTTGCTTAGTTTCGAAAACTGGCCTCTAGTTATGCGACAGAAACCTGAAGATCTTGCCGAAGCTGGTTTCTTTTATACTGGCCATGCAGACGGGACCAAGTGTTTCCATTGTGGTGGTGGTTTAAAAGATTGGGAAGATGATGATGATCCTTGGCAGCAGCATGTTCAGTGGTTTAGTCAGTGTGCTTATGTAAAATTTCAACTCGAACAGTGTTTTGTATTAGATTAAATAGAAGATTTATAAAGAAATAAAAAAAATATATTGCATACAATTTGTTTTATTTAATTTTATAACGTTTCACATAGTTACATACACACAAAATGCATTACACATAACACATAAAATCTAACACACAACACATATTATAACCTTAACTACTATAGTCTACAGTAACATTTCTGTTTTTATCTATCTCAATAATATTATCAAACTCAGCATAAACTATACAGTTAATTGTTTGTATTAATGAGGATTCAAATCGTAATCTTACACTACCATGCTTTATGAGATTCCAATGAGTTGATGAGTTAGCTGATAAATCAGGAGTTAAGTCAAATGCTAATAGACAGTAACCTTTGCCATACTGTTCACAAGAGATTCCATTTCCTTCATTAAGAAAGTGAATACCAGTTCCCGAGAATAGAGTATGATATGCTGATGTAAATATGCTATTATTAAAAGATGGTTGCAAAGCTTTTGAAGGTATTTGTTGACCATCAATATATAAGCTGAAAGAATTAATACCATAGTTTTCAAAGTTAAATGGATTTTTAGTAAGGGAACCATTAAATGCAGAATTGTTCACAAATCCAATTATACATCTTTTCGGTACCTGTCCTAAAAATATATTATCAACAGTTTTTCCTTGAACACCCGAAGGAATTGTTAAAACTTTTACTTCAGCTCGAGTAATAGGATATTTAGCAGTGGTAGAAGCTAAAACTTTTTGATGTGCGAGTAATACACTTGGATTAATTCGTGCTCGTCGAACAATAAGAGTTGCGTCCGTAATGCAAACTTTAAACTTTACATCGTTCGACCCAACAATTAAATTAAAACTCTCTCTTGATCGAACCAATTTAACACTCATTTCAACACCATTAATTAAAAATTTATCTTGGTTAAAAATGTCACCGTGAAGATGACCAATCATTTCTATTTCCTTACTTTCACTAATCAATTCCTGTCTTTTAACAAATCCTATGTTTTTACCATCTGTAGAATCCATTTTTCCTGCTGTATCCTCATACCAAAGACTACAAGTAAGATGAGATTGTTTAGCAGCAGGGGCATAGTTTAAAAGGGTTTCCATGTATGCTCGATATGCATAGGTATTATTAGGTGGTGATACAAGTTTTTGGTTTAAATAAACATCAAGTTGACTAAAAAGTGAATGCAGCCAATTATTTACAGGTGCTACTATTGTAGTAGATACCAAGTTAGTTGAATCTTGATTTAATACTTTTGCCTTTATGTGGAGTAATGTATGAGACAAATCTATGTAGTCATCGCCGGTCCCAGGAACTTGAAACTCGATAGGTCCATCATCACCAAGAGATGAAATTGGTTTATAATGAATCCACAATCCATTTTCAATGCTAGTTTGTGTAGACGGTAGTGCAAACAAATCCAATTCTGACTTAACGCACTCGCAAGAATGATTATGAAGGAAAGACATATTTAGTTTGAAAATATATCTTTGATATTTTTTGGTTTTAGACTAAGTTTTTTCGCAGCTTTCACTTTAGCAGTTAATGGTGGAATGAACGATGTCAATCGTTTTCTTTTAGTTTTATACCCAGATCCAGTCATGTTAAATTGATCAATTTTCTCATCAGCCTTTCGTTTTAAATTCGTACTAACTTGCTTTAGACGATCTTTTATTGAGGCTTCCATAGGACGGGCTTGAACCATATCCGATAAAAGTCCTACTCCAGCGCTTAATGCCTCCTTACCAATCACTCGAGCACCACTTGAAAGTAAAGGTAAAACTGATCTGAATAACCCCCCTAAGAAGCTCCCAATACCATGACCGCGTTGATATGGTGAACCCTTATAAATTACTCCAACTCCTGATCCAGCTTGATGTGTATAATAATTTTCATATGGACATTTATGATGATCACGAAGAGAATTCATTATTATAATTTTCGGAAATGTAGTTTAATACACACGGTTCCAAACTGGAATGGTATTTTTTGTCCTGTACTCGATCTTATAACTATTTCCAACGTATCGAACTCTCTTCGCATAACAGGTAAGTAGTGAGGTTGAGAGAAAACGTGCATTTTATTTGCACCATAAATGTATTTTGTAGGATCTAATGAAATGACTCTTAATAAAGGAGTCATAACATCACCCACAATCTGAGGATCGATAATGTCGCAATATAGAAATAGTTGAGATGGTAACCCTAAGTGTAAATTAGCAGGACACTTTCCAAAATTTCTCTCTAGGAGATTTTTATTTGGTTCATAACCTAGCTGTAAACTTAATTTGGGTGATAATGTTACGGATGTTATATTTTTATCCAATACCGAAATAGACACAAATTTTGTTATTTCATCATAGCGAAATTTCAAGTTCTCTCCGATACCATTTAACACTCTTAAAATATGCTCAACGTTATCATAGTTGGTAGCTGGAATATGTTTTTTGTAGTACACTGTGGATGGCTTATCTTCATTAGGCATTAACATAGATTTTGTAATGTATATAACATTTTCATGGTCTTGAACAGTAAACATGGTACATGGATATTGAAACTCGACAACTCCAACCGACCATTCACCTTCTAATTTTATAGCTTTTGGTAATTTCGTTGAAAAATTTGTGGTCTTGTTATCAGGAAAGTATTCCATTGAACTATTGCTGAGCAAAGTTAAATAGAAACTTTCTTTATTCATATTTCTTTTAAACTAGAAGCTAAAATCCAACTGTTAAATTTATCTGGATAACCTTTCCACTTCACTAATACTTCTTTTCTGTTACCTGAATAACGAGTGTCAATTATTTTATCTATTTTATGTTGTGAGGTGGGGTTGTAAGTGATTTTCTGTAATTCTCTTTCATAAAAAGTACCAATTATTGGTTCATTTTGTAAATCTGTTATTGTATAAACAACCCATGGAGATCTATCAATTATTGAAGATATAATAAATATTTCATCACTCCAATTTGATTCATATCCTTTTTGGAATACATGTTTATATTTAGTTATTCGAACATAATCACCCACATTGAAATTTGGGTTAGGATTTTCTAAAGAAAGTTTTTTTGACCGTCTATCATAAAGATTAGTCCAAACTGTCATAATATTGTTGGAATTTACATCACATGGGCACATCTTAATACTAGAGTGAAAGCTGTGATTATAAGAGTATATTAAATCTTGTAAAACATCTATATATCTATAAGTTATTATGAGTGAAATAACGCCACATTTTCATTTTTAGTGTTCTTTGAAATCGTTCAACAATACTGGCCTTAATGTCAGGATTGTTAGTGGTATAGTAATTAATCTTTTTGGATTTAAAGTATTTTTGTACATCTTTTGAAACAAATTCTGTACCTTTATCGGATTGTATGTGAGTAGGTGTTAAATTACTTTCAGTAAATATACTTTCAAAACATTCTTTAGTTGTTTCTGAGTTTTTCTTTTTCATTGGTCTTGCAAAAGCATATTTACTAAATACATCAATAATACAAAGTATATACTTGAAACCATCATTATATTGAGAATAAGTTCGCATATCACTTAAATCAGCTTGCCACAGTTCATTAATATTTGATAGAATGTACCTATTACGCGGGAATTTTTTTCGAATGGGTTTATGTAATGTGTATGTTTCTTGTGATTTTAACCATTCCTTTACTTGCTTTTTATTCATTTTACCCTTCATGGCTTTTGATAATTTATCAATACTACCAAAACCAGCGGGATTAGATGGATCATAATAAATCCTGTTAATTTCTTCTAGTACGGAGTCCATTTTTCCCACTCAAGTCCTTTACGTATTTTAGTTGTAGACTTTTTATCTCTACTGCACGGTGTAGAAAACTCTTGAACTTCAATCTCAGAGGGTTTGTTCAGATCTTTTGCTTGAAGTTGGTTAATAAACTCACATCTCCTTGGATTTCCAATATAAGTAAGTGGTACTTTAATATCTTTTAATGCTTCAGCAAATCTAACCCACCCTACCGGATCACTTCTTTTTAGGGGTCTTAGTGAATCATTTATTAAATCAACAATATTACTTCCAGGAATTTTTTCACTATCAATTATGACTGTACCTTCGTTATCCCAATGTATTTTACTTTTACTTGTTTCAACTAAGTTTAATAATAACTGCCCTTTTTTATGATAAGTTTTTGGTATTAAACTGAGTATTTGAGCTGGTGTGTAAAGTGGATTTTCATCATTTTCTTTACTTTTAATGGATCGATTCTCCTCCAGCAAAGATTCAATATCAACTGAAGTTTTTAGATCTCTATCTTTATTTTTAAAACCAATTTTTGACTCATTTGAATCTTCATTAGATGTATCAGAATAAATTGGTAATTTGAGTGGTTGACGATCCTCTTCGGTAAAATGAAGGTATCTTTGTAGTGTTTGTAAATATAATATCCATTTCTTTCGGTCTTCCGTCTTACTATTCATAATATTTTGCATTTCAATATCTAATCGAGATAAATTACTATTAACCTTATTTTCTTGTTTTAATTTTTCAATCAATCCAGGTTCGATAAGTATCATTTTCTTTGCATTTTCCATGTTAACTGGCTAGTCCACTCACTAATCCACTCAATATTGCACCTAATATTGTTGGTAAGAAAGCCCCTCCTTTTTGTATAATTATATTTTTTCTTAGTTTATGTTTACACTTACGTACTAGTTTACGGAGTATGTTTTTATGTTTATTCAATTTTTGTTTATCCTGATCTTTAAGAGGTACTTTTCCTTGTAAAACGTTATGAATACACTCACAAATACAGTTAATTTCTTCTTCATCACACGTTTTAAGTAATGCTCTTTGATATTTTGGTTTAAGCGTATGCAAAGCGGTTAGCAAATGTTTATACGTTGTGAGTCGACGATGCATCATTTAGCAATGATTTCAATTGTTTGATTCTTGGTGTATTTAAACTCTTTTGTGGGGACGTAGACTGTACAGAAACCATTAAATGGAAAGACATTTGTCTTGATACGACAAAAATCATTGGTATTCTGTTTTAAATCTACCATTAAATATCCATGCGCCTCTAGAGTTGCATCCCTGTAGGCATTTTCAATGAATTTTGGGTTATCTGGTGATACTTGTCTTGCTAAATATCTTATTTGAGTTTTATCTCGAGGGTTTTTAAAATATATTATATAACTTGAGTTTAAAGATATGTCTCTTTGTCCTTTACCCTGATGAAATAAATTTTGTGTTAGATAAAATACACTAAGATTCCTGTGATGACTACCTTTTGTAAATATATCCACAATTCTTCCATCGGACTCTCTCATTAGATCATCAATAATAACAAGATGTGGGTTTTCACCATCAAACATATTAAGATTTGGAATTCCTTGATGATAGTTAACATTTGGTAAATTATATAATGGTTGCATTTCATCAAAGCACCATGTGATCTGATTAAAATCACAATTACATATTTCTGTAACTGATTTTATGAAATTTGTTACAAAATTTGACTTCCCACACCCACTTGGTCCTGCCACAATAGCAGTGAACGGATGGATAAAGTGAAACATAACACACGTCTAAAGTTCAAAGGGGTGAAATAAAAAATGAAAGTGTTGGTGTAAACAATTAATATATATTCCAAAAATTATATAAAACAGAATTATCTGTATACTATTTCTAACACAATTAGTACATCATAATTTTACAATTAACTCAACCTCAAATAAATAGAAACAACAATTAGTACATCATAATTTTACAATTAACTCAACCTCAAATAAATAGAAACAACAATTAACTTAAATTATTTACAATAAAACAATGTTTAAATATGTAATAAACTACGTCATATTATAGTATTATCATAATTTTACAATCAATATAAATTTTTCTTAAACGCAGACATAAAAGTAAAAATCAACACTTAACGCAGTTTATAATGACCCCAAGCTAATGTTTCAATATTATTATCTAAAATATGTCTCTTTGTGTCATTATATGATAAACCTATCTTATTTAATTTTTGTGTGAAAATTGTGTGTTTAATTGATTTAAATCTAAGCATACTATAATATTGCACTTTTTTATTAAATAGAGAAGACTTATAACTATTCATTGTCATCTTTTTAGTGATACATTTATTTACCCCTTTTGCCTTGGCTATAGTCTTATTCTCTAAGTTAAAAGCGTACATTTTGGATCGTAAACCCACAAATTCTTTCATGATTTTACCATTATTTTCATCTTTAAAAAAACCTAATTTCTTTTTATTTAATTTTGGATATTCAAAAATATTATTTGTATCATAATCTGAGGTATCAAAGTATGATGAAAGGTCAGGTTTTATATCAGTGTAAAAATCATTTGTAAATATATGATATATTAAACTATCCGTATCTGTATACAATAATTTGATTTTACTAAACTTTTTAATCATATAGTTATAATGAAAATCATACATTAATGTTTTTGAAATATCTAAAAT